AGGTATGCTGAAATGAGAGATAATGGAAGAAAAAAACGAAACAAAACCAATGCGGTGATCACGGTTAAGCACGGAATTTCAGCTGAGGAGGTGACACGTAGTGAATGGTGGTGGGAGAAGTGAAGTGGAAGTCACAGTGCAGCTGGAGGACTGTTGGGGTCAGGGTGCGAGAGCGAGGCAAAAAGATGGAACGTAGGTGGTACGAGACTGAGACTGCAGAAGGGCTGCGGTTGCCGGGGCCTGACCACCGGGTAAGGCAGGGTAGAGGACAAGATCACTGGGAAAGGATCATTCAAGGGATTGCGAAGCAAGAAAACTGGTAGGATCACAATCCGTTTGTATCAGAACTGTTAAGAAAAAAGACAAGCAGGTTGGGGTACTGCAGAGAGTGGCCAGGAGCTACACTAACTGAGAGACAAGGAGGAGTGGGTCAGGGTGTTCATAGATAAGAGCACAAAGAGAGAAGGTGGGCGATATAATTTCATGTCATGAGATTTGAGATGATGGGTTTCTAGGAAAAAGGAGGAATGATCTGGAAGCAGCAGTAAAGAAGAAGAGGACATCTATCCCATCTCCAGACCCACTGATGTGAGGGTTACCACAGAAACTCCTGTGGCAGGCCCCCCGCCCCCCCCACCAGAGAGAGAGGCAAGAGGGAAAGTGGTGTCGAGGGAAAAAGCCAGGTCTCTGTTAGAGCAATGAGGTGAAGTAGATGACAGCAGACTTTGCCAGTGACAGACCCTGAATTCCAGAGGGCACAGTGGACAGGTTTCAAGAGTTCCGGTGGGATGGCAGGAAACAAGACAGCAGTTCCACAGAACTTAAGGGAGGCGAGGGTGACCTGTGAGCCTGGGCAGCTTCCTGTGGTGAGTGACATAAATGGCACAATATTAGATCCAGTGGATCCGAGGCAAACAGTGATGGTAAAGGAGTCGTTTAGGTCCTTTTTTTACACCACTGAGGACAGGGAGATCATGACCCGGGGGACATGTGGTAGTCATGCCCTGTGCAGGACTCCTGGTAACCCCAAGTGACAGTGGTAGATTTATGTACATAAATTACAAGGAGTGCTATATAATATTTTGGAATCTCCCAACTACTCTGTACTAACAGTCTGACCCTACTCAAAATCCAAGATAAGTCAGTAAATAAAAGGATCCCAACAACTGTCCTAATTTCATGTACTCAAGAGGCGAAAGGAACTGACCAGACATCTGTCTGCCACAAGACTCACCGAATAAGGTGGAGCACACTGAGCTCCTATGGAATCTGATTTCTAGAGGCCACAGGTGCAGAGGCTGTAAAGATTCAGCAGGGCATTTCCTGATGAAGACCCAACTGGGTGGGTGCCACAGACTGGACAGAAGAGGATCACAGGGAAAAGAAGACCCCTTTGCAAAAGAGGGGACTGCTTCCCCACCATGGGCTCCCGCTAAGGCCTGAACCCTGAAAGCCCCGGGAGAGCAGCAGACAGGTAAACTATCCATGGCTGCCGACAGCTCTGACTTGTGGGCAATGGATCTGGACCCGCACAATTCGAACCTGACTAGGAAACTGTTACTGTTTATGGAATGCTCAGCTCTTGGTCAAGATCTTGCTTTTCAGCCAGAGTTCCTTCTAAATTACTGTTATTAACCACTTGGGCTGTTCTGAGGCTCACAGCTCCCATAAAGCACTTTGTATTTTAACATGGAAGAGACCATCTAATGCTATACATTGTCCTCTACACACTGACCAAGGGGCATTAACTTGTGAATCTTAAGAACCCAAAAGATTTCTTAAAAGGATTAAACCTAAAAAGAGTATCGCTTATCACTTACCACGCTGTTTTCAAATGTAACCATTTTAATGGGATCATGTCATCCATGAAGAGAGTAAGCATTGGAAGCAAGGCGTATAAAAAACCACCTTGTGCACGAGACAATGACCCGAGGCCACCACAGTGACCCGGAAGACCCCTCGGGGAGGATGGGAAAATCACCTACTGAGCCTGTTTCCAAGGAATTAAAGAAGCAGAATCAACAAAGAGACCATGATGATAAAAGACTCCTTACTGATCACCAAAAGGGAAGTGAGAAAGTACTAGAAGTTTTATAGCACTGCCTATCAAATCGCAACTCAAAATATTCTCCTGGCAACATATCTATAGGAAGTCAAGAGTTTAGGAACAAGAGAGTAACCTTTGAGAGAGAAAAATGTGCATGAGGACAGGTAGTATAAATCTGAGGACCATTCCTTTCTCTTAGCTCTTCTCTTAGAACAAGGTACATGCCTCCTTGAACCTTAATGAAGCAGTGGCTGACGACCTTTGACTATAGAAGGCAGATGAAAAGAGGTGGATGTTTTCTTTAATGTCCATTCCTGGAGAAGCCAATAGGTATATGGGAGTTTTTAGGTAGAAATAAAATGTAAGGGAGATACAGCTATGTTTAACAAATACCAGTTGTGTTTAGCAAGCAAGAGAGGAAATAATGCAATATTATGAAAACCTAGTGTCCAAATAACTTCCTCATCGAGACTGGCAGCTACTGAGCAGAAATCATCTATGCAGAACTTCTACTAGGACCAGATAAGCGTGTCTTACTTCTCTAACTGAATTAGTTGTGCTACAGTTGAATGCATGGTAATCAGAATATGGCTCCTCCTCTTCAACCCTAAATATCCACTATCTCACTTTTCCTAATCTAATGTTATTCCTTTTTGTACTCCTAAGAGTCACACAACAATGACATCAGTAAAACACTAAAAATCCCAAGAAGAAATGATTTGTTGAAGGGAGAAGCGTTTGCTCCTTGGGGGGAAATGAATGAAAACATAGATGTGGTGTGGCTGGGAGCTCTGTTGCATCCAAGTGTTACAGATAACTGTTTGAGTTTATCTTTTGATAACTGTTTATAGATTACTTAGTCAGATTACTTATGACTATAGTTGATGAGAAAAAAATCTAGGAGTTTCTTAAAATGACTACGATTTAGGTGTCTGGAAAATTGCTTATGATTTCATAATTTTCTAGAACACCTTCTTAGTGCTTCCTAATGAAAAGATGGGAAATTAAGACACTGTTCCAATTTAGCATCTGAAAGTCCTACCTAAAAGTAAAGCTATTTACAGACTAAAATAAAGACTAATCCTGGCTGGTGCAGCTCAGTAGATTGAGTGCTGGCTGTGAACCAAAGGGTCGCCAGTTCAATTCCCAGCCGGGGCACATGTCTGGGTTGTAGGCCAGGTTCCTAGTGGGGGCCACGTGAGAAGCAATCACACATTGATGTTTTTCTCCCTCTTTCTCCCTCCCTTCTCCTCTCTCTAAAAATAAATAAATAAAATCTTAAAAAAAAAGACTAGTTACAAATTTCCTTCATCAAAACAGAAGCAATCTAGTGATGATTATTACTACATGAAAATCCACACTGCCAATAAACTATATGGACAAATTCATACTTATTCTCTTCAGATTAAGATACAGAGATTTCTGCACCAGCGGGTAACTCAGTTGGTGAAAAAATCATTCCAAAACACCAAGGTTGTGGGTATGATCCCCAGTCAAGGTATAGGTTTCCCTCTCCACTTGCCTCTCTCTAGAATCAGTCAATAAATAAACCTTAGGAAAAAAAGATACAGATTTCTAAGAATAATTTAAGGGAAAAAAAAGCCAAAGTTGTTAGGAAGTAAGAACCTTCAATGAATAGAAAGTGGTTTCCAGGGCCAAAGTTGAAAGCTAAAGGAGCATTAATAAGTCTGGTTACACTGTTGAAAATAACAAGAAAATAAGATAAGGTCTTAGGGATATAACGCCAAGGAAAACCACCACACCGCAGCAAACCCCACTACAATCAGTGGGAATGCAAACATACAGGACAAAAGGAGGGTGGGGAGGAGAGGCATGTGCCCAGGAAGTACACATCTGCAGTGGCACTTAGAGCCCCGCCACAAGAAAGGGATTTACCCCAGAGGCTAATACAGGGACAGATTCCGAGGTTCTGATGTTCACTGTCAACTAGTCTTTGTGGATGTACTACAGCAGTATAAGTGATCATTATCACAGCATTTTAAACTTAGAGAGCAAAAGTAATTCCCTGAGCTGGACTTGAGTTGGGAAGGTGACAGCTCTCAGAAGAAAAGGCACTCTGCCCTGGAAGCTAGGGCAACAAGGCAGGCCTGGGCACTGTGATCCTATGCTCCTATACCCCCACGTAACTACGGGTCGCCAAAGGCACCCAGGAATCTGTCAGCCTCCTTACTAGAACAAAGTGTAGCCTGGTCCCATTAGATCACTTCAGGAAAAACAATAATCCCCTTTAAAATACTTATGTACTGGGCGGGGGGTAGGGAATGCTCCTGAGCTGGAGTGTTTATAATAAATAATAAACCTCTAAATAAACAAAAAAGCTAGAAGAAGATGGAAACATAGAATTATCATAAGGCATATTAAAGGAGCACAAAACCCAGGAACTAGGAAGTGAAAGAAGAGGGCAAGAAAGATCAGCAATACTAAAATAAAGGTGAAGAAATGAAGGTGAAAAAGAATGTATATAAAAAAAAATGGACCAGAATTATATAAAAGAACGGACCAAAAGTCAAGACTCCTAGATCTGGTTATATAACCTTGGGCAAGCTACCTAACTATTCAGCTCATATATTCTACAGAGTGGAGATAATACACATCCTGCCTGTCTCATAAGGCTTCTTTGCGGGCCAAAGAGGTCAACTTATGTTAAAACACTGAAAATTATAAAACACAACACAAATGTAAGATAATAGTATTATCACTGAATTTGTCCTTCACCTTCCAAAGAAAAAATAAGTATATAATAGCTTAATTTTTCCTGTCAGTTAACATCCCAGCTACTGTTCCTCCTGTACTCTTAAAAACAAAACCAAAAAACGACCAAAAGAGAAGTCAAGCCCCATTGCTAGTCTCAACTGTCTGAAGAGAAATTCCTTTGCATTGGTTTTCTCTAATATTCAAGAGACCCAACTAAAAGGCTCTCCCATATTCTTACCTTTTGATGCTGCAGGAGCGAAGGTCCAGGAAGGAGAAAATATCAGATATTGGAAAGAAATAGAAGAAAGAAAATGAATCACATATGGTTTGTTGTTACTGTAGATAGTCGCCCAACCCCCTGACCTATTAAAGACTCTGCCCAACCCTTATCAATTATGGATGTAGGTCTGGGGATAGCACCTTCAAGTCGGTGCCAGAATCGGTTCAAGAGCATCATCAGAATGGGCCCAGACTAAGCTGTCACCTTAATCTCATATCAAGTTATAATGACATAAAATACCTACCTGAAAAAAAACTGGGGTGCAGGTAGGGGAAAAGACCAACCTACACGCAACAGCTCTCTTTCCCAAACCCAGCATCCCCCAAATATAAAAATACTGTATTTTCTTCCAAACTGAAACCCCATCTCTCATCAACCCTCACCCAGGGAAGGGAAAGGAATGGGAAACCCACTTAAAGAACATTCTAAGTCCTACGCTGACCCTTTCTTTGCATGAAAGAGAAAGGGACTCACTCTTGGTCTGGGCAGAGAAGGCATGGGTAAGTTTGGCAAAAAGTTCATTGTTCTCAAAGCGGTCCTCCTTCACCTTTGTCCAGAAGCAGTTCTGGGAAAGGTCCTCAGCGACAAACTGTGGATACAGGCAGGGTGTTAAGTTACTAAAGTGAGCCCGTACTTTCCACTCTAGAAAACTGATGAAGATGCAAGCGGTGTCTGGCCGGTTGTTAGCACTGTCACACCAGAGCGAGAATGACCTGAGGTACAGACAACAGCTGTGCTCTTCCTGATGAAATCAGGAGATGGCGCTTCCATTTTGTTTGTTGATGATTATTCAAGTTATGCTGCAGATCCACCTTAAATCCACTAGTTTTAGAAGTATTAACACTTATTTCACATCTTGTTCTATATTACATATTTTCCCATCAATTTAGCTAACTGTACCAAATTCATTCGTTTTCTAATCCCTAACTTGGTTTCTGGAAGCAAAAGGCTGGTGCAGAAACACAGGGGTCTCCAACACATAGTGGGAGCAATACTGTGTCATGGAAACATATCCTGTGTGCAGCTTATTTACCAAAGGGTGAAGGTAGGGGGCTGTACCCATAACCCATGACTTGAAATCAGCAAAATTATCAGTACTTTGCAGATTGGTGAAATGACTATTATCAAACTGTGTTACCCTGGCACTCATATCCTCAAAGGCCAAAACCACTACTAACTTAAGTTTAGGTTCTGTAGCAGTTTGGACTCAAAGAACTCTCTAAAGTGATGTCTAGCATATAGGAGATGCCTAGTATCTGCTGAATATACATATGCATGAGTGGCACTGAGACAGACAGATGCGAGCCTCTCTCTCGAGGGAAGCCCAACCATGCACAAAGTACAAAGTAGGAAAGTGAAGTGGTTTCTGAATAGGTACTGATGAACACATAGACAGAAACTCTCACCTTGGACCAGTTTGGCCTCCGGAGCTGCACTTCTGGCTTATAAAGCTTCTTTGGGGTTAATCCATATGGCAGAACTGGGGCTGCAGGAACTCCAAATCCAAAAGGGGGAGGTGGAGGCATACCCATTCCTGGCGGAGGTGGAGGAATGCCAGGGCCTCCAGGAAATGGAGGGGGTGGGGGGATTCCAGGACCACCAGGAAGAGGGGGAGGGGGAGGCGGCATTCCTGGTCCTCCAGGCAAGGGAGGAGGGGGTGGGGGGATGCCAGCGCCCCCAGGCAAGGGAGGAGGGGGTGGGGGAATGGCAGCACACCCAGGTAAAGGGGGAGGTGGTGGGATGGCAGCACACCCAGGTAAAGGGGGAGGTGGTGGGATGGCAGCACTCCCAGGTAAAGGGGGAGGTGGTGGGATGGCAGCACTCCCAGGTAAAGGGGGAGGTGGTGGGATGGCAACACTCCCAGGCAAAGGAGGGGTTGGGGAGGTGGCAACACCCCCAGGCAAAGGAGGGGGAGGTGGTGGAGGAGGAGGAATGGTGCCACCCTCAGGAGGAGGAGATGAGGGTGAAATAACAGTGCCAGAGTCACTAGGTAAGGGTGGGGCAGGGGGAACAGTAGCACTGCTGGGCGGGGCTACAGCAGTAGCTGCAGCAGAGAGCAAAGCCATTTCTTTCTTGGCATCTTCCAGCTCCTTAGACAGCTTGGCAACCTAGAAATGCAACATCAATGAGAGCACACTTCTCACTGCACCTTGGGAACAACTGGGGTTTGAGGGGACCTACACAACGACCTAATTCCAACTTCTCATTTTATACGTAAAGGCCACGAAAGGAGACATGAAATGACTGGCTTAAAGTCAAACAGCCATTTAGTGACAAGACGAAATTAAATGTAGGTCTTTGTGTTCTTAGTTCAGCACATTTTTATTAAAAAGGCAACTGCAACATTCCTGTTAAACTCTCTCTTTGATTAGAAAATGCAAAACTGAAGTAAATCAAATATTCCAGTTATATAAATAACACATGTGCTGCCATATAAGTAATTATATAGCCACATACCGTATTTTGCCATGTGTAATGCGTATATTTTTGCCCAATTTTTTTTTAGGAAAAATAAGGATGCATGTTATACATGGGTATATACCCATGGTATATAATCATGGGTATAAAAATCCTGTGCATAATGTGCACAAAACCATGGGTGCACATTATATGTGACAAAATATGGTATGTGGTCAAATGATCAGATCACAGATCACCAAACATTTATGACTGCAGAGAGAATGTGTAAGGATAAATCTGTCCAGAGATGACAAATAGCAGAAAATAAGCAAATATGAGAACAATTTCTTTAGTTTCTACTCCTAAATTCATCGGAAGAGTATCATCTTTATTTCTGAGTAGAACTATGACTTATTTTATTCTTTATGTTGTTCTGTATTTTTAAAATTTTCTATCTTACATATTACTTATCCCTAACACAACACAAAACAAAACAGTAAAAGATTTTTAAAACACACACAAGGTAACTAGATGACCAATTAGTAGCTGACCCTCCCCTCCCCCGGGGAGCAAGGTGACTCCTGCTACAAGACAGGCTTGCCCTGAGGCTGCTGGTGGCAGCCACAGGTCACTCTGCCTCCTCTGCTCAGACCAGACCTCACCTCTCCTGTGAGCTGAGACACCTCTGCTTCCAGGCTCTGCTTCTCTGTGGTAATGTGCTGCTTTTCAGAATCCAGTACATCCTTTTCTCCTTGAAGATCCTGGAGCTTCTGCTCGAAGTCACTTTCCATCTTTTTCATTTCCACCTGTAGCTCATGTCGGGCTGTTAACTCTAAGTCCAGCTAAAGGAGAGAGGAATCAGGCTCCCAGTAAGCTATCTGGGAAAGGAGGACAGCATCATTCCCCATGATTTACTGCTTTTTGCCAGTCTTGGATCTATAGAGATCATTGGCCCAGGGAACGCCTTGGAAAAAAGAACACCATGATTTTGATCTGAAAAATCATGGATAAAGGAGGAGTAAACTAAGGACCATTTCCATAGTTTATCTATTTTTAGAGTAATATTATTTTTTTTAATAAGATTTTAAAGACATTTAACCAGGACAGCCATGGCATGTAATCCGAACCATAAAAGGAGTCTTTAACAATCAGAGAGAAGAAGAGAATTCAGACATACTACCACTCCTACTGTTCCAGGCAGAAGAGGCCTGAGATGCCAGGAGAGCCTGAGAGTGCTTTCAGCACCACAGGAGTGTCATCTAAGAACTGCTATTGTGTGCTGAGTGCTTTAAAAATATCTCAGGTATGCTTCACATGTCAGAAAAATAATAATCCTCAGACAAAGAAAGATACACCCTGATTTTTTTTTATTTCTTGCACGCACCTTTTTTTCCAGCTCTGTAGCTTTGGCTTCAGATTTCTCTACCTTTGTTTTATCAATCATTTGATCTGAAAAGAAGAAGAGTCAGAAAGTTAAGTTCCCAATCTCTTATTTTCCTCTCTTACTACCTAAGCCCTTCAATATAACCACAGGGCAGGGAGGTCTTTGGCCCTTTTGCTTATTTTTATTGCCCTTCTTAACATTCTGCACCAGATAAAGAAATGGAACCATCAGTTTAATTCAACATAATATTTCTGAGTGTCTATTAAGACCACCATGCTGGGTGGCATGAAGAATGCCTACAAGTCATACTTACAAATCTTAGAGACCAGCAAGAGTCCTAGCTTATTGTTGAAGTCCCTTCAAAAGGTGGGGTAGTGTATGAGAAGGAGTTAAATTTTTAGAAAATTGTGTAGAATTAAACTAAAGGTTTATATATTCTTAACACAGATGCTGGTTAACAACTAAGAAAGGGCCAAAATACAAATACCTGGGGACCAGAAAGAGACCTCTGAAATTTTCACTGAAAGATTAAAAATGAAAGGTAGAGGCAATATTTTAAGGAAGCACATAGAAAAGTACACTTACCAATCAGTCCCTCAATATCAACCTCGAGGTGCCGGCACTTGAAGTCAGGATCAGCCCCATTCTTGCGCAGAACTATCTGAGAAATACATTCTTCAATCAGCCTATAGTACTGCGGTCTACAACAGAAACAAATCAAGATTATTAAAGAAAAACCACAATCTAGTTTTCGGAAGTACAGGATCAAGAAAAGGTAACTGCTCTGACAACACAGGGACCCGAGGATACGTGTTCTGAAAGGACCTTTCCGTACCATGAACAGAAGCACTGCTGCCACGCTAAGGACCTTCTTCCACGTCAGCTACCCCAGCTCCTTCAGATGATCGACACGTCTTGGCATCTACCTCCTAGTGCCAATCCCTTCCCATCTAAAACCCCAGGCTGACCCTCTGTGTCATGGATGGCTAAATCTCTACTTTCAGGCAACCTGAAAGACCTTTCAATTTATCTCCCTTTGCTGCCCTCCTCACTCTACACTACCAGATCCCTCCGAAAGAGAACAGGCACTTCGCCTTACACACTCTGTGACCTCTTCCCCAGGGGTGCCTTTCAGTTGGATAAGAGAGACCAATGACGACTCCCTTTATACCCATGACTAAAAATGAAACCTAATCCTCACCCTTTTTTTCCTTTACAGACAATCTTTGAACTTAAGGGCTTTGCTCTTTCCGCTCAGGCTGAAGTTCAAAACCTCCCACAGGTATGCCATCTCACCTGGCTTCATAGTCATTTCGGACCAAGAGTAGGTGCTGCAGGATGGACAGGAAGTATGGCTCTGCCTTCGAATCCTTCACTGTGTTTAAGAGAATCTGGAAGACTTCACTGAAATCAGTGGAAAACAGGAAGAAGCTAAGGAAAGTATATATTTAGATACTATGACAGGTGGCTTGCCCAAGTCTCAGGAAAAGTAGCAAGATGCTCTTCTATTCTAACAGCTGTTCTTCCTGTAAATATTGCTCGAAACTTGAAGCTCTATAAACTTCCTCTAGCAAGGAGACCAGTGAAATGGCTTGAAGATCAATTAGAAACTCAAAGATAGATGCCTCAAAGTCACTTGTGGCAGTATGAATGGGTAAGCAAATTACTCCCTCTGCCAGTCTCTGGAATATATACCAGAAAGCAAAAGATAACCCCACTCCCTGACTTATGTGTGTTCTCTAAAAACCGATTCTACATCTTAGTAAGCTAAGCTACTGTGTTCCAGGAGGTCTGAACTAATTTTGAGGGCTGCTTCCATGCTGAACCACCCTCGGATCACTTTTCCTAACTTCGCTGGTCCATGCTTTACCAGGTCAATAACTTTACCAGCAATTAGAAGACACCTGCCTTATCTACTGAGAAGACACACGGGCCGATGTCAACTGAATATCTCCTGCCTAGATTGAACCCAGTCACAGCAAAAGGATATTCCATCTCCATTCGAATGTCATCCAGCCGTGCCTTCAGGTCGTAGGAGTCTTCCTCCGCATGCTCATCAAACACATTGAGCTGTACTCTCATGTCTTCGTTTTCAATCTTCCGAAGGGCCTGTCCACGACAAAACCGGGAGTCAGGGAGCCCAGCAATGTCCTGTGCTGGCCAGAAACCCAAGCCTTTCGGCTTGGTTTTCCAACTGAAAACCAAAGTTACCCCCGGGATGACTGGGCTGTAAGAGCAGGAAGGAATCAGCACAGCCTTTCTAACAAAGGGCTGAGTCTTACCTGCAACACCTGGTGCAGCCCCAGCCGCATCAGCTCACTCCGGATGTGAACTCGGAAGTCAAGTTCTTCAGCTGGGGTGATGAGAGCATTGATCAGCTGTAGGCATCCCACCTAAAATTTTTAAATTCAGCAGCTATGTCAGTGTTAACACCTAGATACCAAGATTCCATTCTCTTTACGTGTATTTTGAGGACCCCAGGTGCAATCTAGAAAATACAGCACAGGACTACAAGAACGAATTTGTGCCAGAGCAGTAAGGCCCAGTTTGAGCAGATCTGGAGAGGACAGAGGTCTAACAACCTCAAGAATTTGATGGTATACTTTGTTCTAGGCCTTGGTTTTACTAACTTGTAAATAAATACCATTCCTTTTTCCTGCTTCGTAATGAGGAACAGTTCTTTCTCTACCTTCTTGGAGAGAAGGATAACCATTTTCCCTTCCTAACAAATTCTGAAATGTAAAACATATTGTTGGAGACTATACCATGTGCTCTATTAAAGGGTCAAACGAACATAAGTCTTTCCATGTTGAATTCTACTCTTAGGCCCGGGTTCTGGGGAGGTACATGCCTTGAGTGCAATGGAGGTCCCACTTTTTAGTCCATCCAGCAGTGGCTGAAAACGTTCCACCTCATCCATCTCAGCTTTCTCTGTCATTGCCTCCAAAACCCGTACATTCCTGCCCAGGAGAAAAGAAGAGAGCTGAGCAGGCGCTCTGACACAGATAGGCACAGCAGATTACACAGGGACACCGATGAAACAGGAAACAGAACATGGTCAATGCTCCAGATTTCTCACGGTGCTCTTCTGGCCCCCAGAACAGGGGCTAGAATCCACTGGAAGCTAAGAATTGTCTCTTCAGAAAAAATGTGCCTTAAAACTCATCCCGAGACTCCTGTCTATGGGTACCAAAGTAAGACCCCTCCTCAATAAAGTATAAATTGGTACAGCTTCTGGAGGGCATTTAATAATAGCAATTTTGAATGCAAATAATATTTGGCCTACTTCTAGAAATCTACCAAACATAAATGCATAAATGTGAAAGAATATATGTTCAAGCACGTTCATTACAGCATCATATGTAAAAGTTAAAATTCTATTACCTAAAGCAAGAGCCACATATGCTTTTTAAAAAGTCTACTTAAAAGTCTAGCAATGAGAGAACCGTTAAATAAATTATGGGATATACCATATTTTTTTTTAACTATAGGACACACTTTTCCCCCAAATTTGGGAGGAAAGAGGTGTGTGTCTTATAGTCTGAATGTAGCTTGCCTGGCTCGCTGGGTGGGGGGCGGGGCGGGGGGCTGGTGGGGGTGGAGTGGGGTCACAGGTTATTAAATATTTTATCACATTTTTTTGCTTCAAAAACTTTTCCCTATTTTCCTCTAAAACCTAGGTGCATCTTAAGGTCTGATGCGTCTTATAGTTCTAAAAATATGGTACATACTATAGAATGCTAAATAGCCACTAAAGATACCTATAAATGTTGACATAAAAGGATGCCCAAGATCTACTGTTAAATAAAAAGAAACAAACTGAAAAACATAAATGGTATGATTTAACTTTTGTTAGACCCCTCTACAAAAATAAAAATCTATCCTGTGATTGGTTGCATATACATAAGCCATCTTTCCTTAGTTCTGGAATACCACATATTAAAATGTAGGAAATGCAATATATTTGTCTGTGCTAGAAAAAGATCTCTGAGACAGTACCAAGCCATTAACAGTAATTATCTCTGTAGAACAGGATTTGCCAGAGGCACAAGGCTGTTAAATTTTACTTTATATACTTCTGTATTATTTGCATTTTAAAAACAATGTTGTGCTGCTCTAAATTTTTTTTTTAATGGAAAGATTGTTAGCTCCCATCACCTAAAAATTTTTCTTAAATGTAAGATTCAGTGTTCACATCTGGGAAAGAATAGTCTTACCTAGTATTTAAGACCAAGTGGCCACCCAAGCAACTCAGTTTTCCTCCAGACTAGGGAAGACAGTAAAGGGAGAATGGAGGGGGGGAATAAGCCCAGTCACGTACATGTCCTCTGGCTGTGGCAGGATACAAAGAGCAGAAAGCAGCTTGGCTGCATCGATCATCATGTTGGGAACCGCAGGGTCCATGGCCCTGACCAGCAGCAGGATTCCTTCCTCTGTATCTAACATGGTCTTGATTCCAAACTGATAGGACAAGAACAGAGAAAGCAGGCTTAAGGACGACAGCATCAAACCCCAGGCAAGGCTAGGAGTCATTATGGGTTAAACGGTATTTCCCCCCCAAATTCATCTGTTGAAGTTTTAACTCCCAGCACCTCAGAATGTGATCTTATTTGGACATAGGATCATTGGCAAGTGTAATTAGTTGTTACAAGGTCACACTGGAGTAGGGTGAGTCCTTAATCCAATGACTGCTGTCCTTATGAAAAAGGGAAACGTGGACACAGACATGTACACAGAAGAATGCCACGTGAGGACGCAGGCAAAGGTCGGGGTGATGCATCCACAAGTCAAGGAAAGCCTAAGAGTGCCAGCAGGCCACCAGAAGCTAGAGAGAGGCATGGGGCATATTCTCCCTCAGACTCAGAAGGAACCAACCCTACCAACCCTGCTAGCACTCGATCTTGGACTTACAGCCTCCAAAAATGTGAGACAATACATTTCTGTTGTTGAAGATGCCCAAGTTATAGTACTCTATTATTGCAGCCCTAGCAAACTAACATACGGTAAAATACTTTTCCCAAAAGAGCGAAACAGAAGTAAGCATAGGAAAAGAATTTGCTCGTAGATAACAGAACAGAATTCTATGTCTCCCAAGAGTTAAAAATCTTGGATTTTTATGCTTCTTTTTAATGCCCCCCCAACCCAATGGAATAAGTTAATTATAATAAAATTAGACAGTGAGGAAGATAAATTTGCATCCAGGAACAAATAATCATGGGCTCCCTGGGTTTAAATACTGGAAAAAAAAATTTCTATATATGACTGAAAAAAAAACCTTCAGACATAAACTTTTCAAAAACAGTAACTGAAAGTCAGGAAATTCAAGAATTAGCATTAGAAACTATAAAAAGAGAAAGAAAATTGAGCCTACCCTCTGAAACAGACATTACAACTGGAGGGAAGGGATCTAGAGAAGCATGTATGTGTGGCAATCAAAAAATTACAATACTAAAAGGGAAAGCTAAAAGTCTTGAACCTCATACTCCTAAGTCCTGTTTGGAGTTTGCCAATAGAAGAGAAAGAAAGGTCACAATGGGGGTTGGCATGAAAACAGGAAAAGTCTTACCTTGTTATTCATAAAAGCTTTCAAGCAGCGAATGATCTCGTGCTGGTTACGGCTATCATAGCTCCTGCATGCAAAAGACACAATCACTGAAGTCCCTTTATTCTATAACCCTCTCCCCGATCTGACTTTTCAGTCGTGCAAACAAGGGTCTCAGGAATATCCCCAAACAGCAGCTGAGTAAATTCTAGCCCGCAGCACTTTGTCCTGAAGCACTGGCAAAAACAGGTAGCTGAAGAGGGACTGCCACCATCAAAGACCTTGGTTAATCCTCTCAAAATCCAAGATTTAGTATTACATTAAAATCTTCCCACTCATTCCCTCTAGGCTCTTAAGTGCTAAACTGCCAGGATAACATTGCATCTATGACTGCCTTCATTACTTCAAAGGTTTGAAGTTTATACACTCAGGAGGTACAGGCCCTATGCTTTATTTTGGAAAAATTACAGGAAGTAAAGAAGTTGCTTTGGGTCAGCCTGGCTTTGAGGTAAGCTAAGACAGTCCAACGTAACACCAAGAATTATTCTAACTCTGATGACCGTCATAAAGCTACTTCCAAAATGATGAAGTATACTATAAGACTTCCACATGAGATCTGCCCCAGATCAGACAACAGGACAGCGCTGAACTAAATCAGACCCTATTTCCAGGTTTGATAAGGACCTATGCTGAGAGATTCATAACCTTATGTGGTATATATAGCCTGTGTTATTCACCATGAAATTGAAGTTCCTCCTCCCTTTCCCGTATCTAGAATCATCACTCATCCTCTAGTCACCTGCACAATAAACTCCGTTTTTGGCTAACAGCATATTCCCCCAGTCTATAACTTTACCTTTAACTGCTATTTTCTCCTTTAGAGCAAATGGCCAAGTCCCCTACAAGATGTCAAAATGTGAAAGTCCTTACCCAGGAGTTTCCTCCTTCTCATCGTGGAGTCGTTTAAGGATGTCCAACAAGGAGGCCAGGCCCTCCGCACCAAACGTTTGCACCCAGCTGCAAGGAAAAGACACAGACAATGCAATATTAAATCAAATCAATGAATTCATCTGCAAGAAAACAAAGTTCATCCTGGCAACTCCTTACTCCCTATCCAGAACATTCTCCTTTGATCTCCAATCCCCACTGCTAAACTCCAACCCTGGGCTTTCACTCCTGACACCACCTGAGAAGCCTCACCTGACAGGGTTGTTGTTGAGGGAGACACGAAGGGACTCCAGGCAGTTGAGCAGAGCCATGTCCCGCAAGCCTGACCTCAGCTCCTGAATGTACACCATGGCAGACCGAGAGCTCTCCTTTTGGCTCATGCCCTAGACAGAAGCATATAGAGAGATTAGTAAATCCTGCACCCAGTCATAAATTGGACTAGTATTAGCCAATACAGTTTAAATAACATTAAGGCAGATACCCATCACACACACCACCCAACTATGTGGGACTCAGAATCTCCCATCTCATTCCCATACATACTTCATTAAAACTGAATCAAACAGAAAGTACGCGAAAATGCTAGCAAGTGAAAAGTATGAAATGAGTAGGCTCATATAGCAGAATGAAACAGAACTGATGTAGACATTAAACGTTCTGGGAAATTGATAAAACAAACAGGTCCAAGATCAGGGTGGCCTCCCATGTCACGGCTGCCCGCTCCTGAACTCACAGCCTTGGACGTGTGCAAGTACTGGGACACCATCTCCCTCTTGATGATAATGTCCTTCTCCCTCAGAGGCTGCTGTTTCTCCTCATTCAGGTTCATATCCACCTAGTAGAGGGAGGAAAAAAGGGAAAAATAAAATTGCCTTGATTTCTTCACAAGCTTTCAGTGTTTAAATATTTTGTATACCTAGTGAAGAGCTGAACACATAAATCTAATTGAATAAATGTCCCTGATCCCAAGAGATTTAAGCTATTAGATGATACAGATTGCTCAGGGACAAATGTGGTGAACATTTTAGTATAAACCCTTGTAGACATCTTTATATACATACAATTAACTTTTTTCCTAACAAAAATGGACTCAATATAGATGAAAACTGCATTTTGTATTATTAAAAGAAAATCACACATGATGATTTCTGCACTTAGGATGGACCTTAATAATCTCTTCAGACTGAAGTACTGAATAACTGACATCATCCTAACACCAGCAAAATCTACAGCAACTAGGGCCTAAACACCCATTTCCCTAGTTTAACTCAGTCCCTGTACAAACTCCTCTCCTATGAAGAGAGAACTGGAAACTGTGCTGAAGTCCCTCAACAGACACAGCCTGGAGTGTGTTATGGGGAGGGGTCTACTCGAGCCTATTACATGTATAACCATGTGTCTGAGCCCAGCGTCTCAGTGAGCACGAGTTTAACCCTAAAAAGTTCAGAAGAGTATTTGAAATGAGGAAAGTATAGGAGGAAAATGAGTATAATCTATTTCTTCTTGGTGTGTTGCGTGTGTGTGTGTCTGTGCGCGCGCGCACATGCATGCAGTGTGTAGGAATCACTGCCCCCAAATAGCAATTTTAATTTGACATTTTTCTGACTCAATACCTGGTGCTCTTCCCCTCATTTTACAGGTGAATTGAACAAGAAATTGCAAACTGCTGGACCCTCTGGTTGGATCACCCAAAAAGAAAGTGTGTTTTGCTTGGCTATTCAACATTTTAAATTTGGGAGACTTCAAATAAAAATGTGGATTTCTGGCGTGAAGGGATGTAATCATCCAATTTCAGATTGTGGGAAGCTCTACAAATCAAAATGTTTCTATAGGAAAACCTATAGATTAAATGAAACTTAAGAGACTATTAGGTACAATGAATCTTATATGCAATTGTGATAGGAATAAAAAATTATTTTTTTATAAATGACCTAATTGAGGAAATCTGAATGTTGGCTATGATATTTGATACTATTAAAGAATTATTGGTTTTTTTTAATTACAGATTTTTTACTTCTTTTGAAAAATAGAAATATCTGGCACTACTGGGCCAGTGTTCCCAAATGGAATGTTACAAAACCTATTGAAACTAACAAAAATGCCAAGAGTCTTTCTTCAATTTAGCACAGTCCCCATTTTTATCATTGTCTATCTAGTCTGTTTAATTTATTTACGCTACCTCCATGGCCCTAAAGACATCTAAATTTGTAATCAAATGCCAAGGGATTATCTTGATAGAGCATACTCTTAGACTCTTAATACACTTGGATTACTGAGAGACAAATTAAAAGCTTCAGTGAAAAATAATAAAAGTATTACTTGTTGACTGCTACTGTGTACCAGGTCCTGTCTTAAGGATTTTAAACCCATGCTTTTAATTAAGTTAGGCTTGCACTAGCCCCTATTTGAATCTGCAATCATATATCTAGGCAATATACAGGTCTCATGAAACCTTGTGAGCATGTACTCAAAAGTTTCCAAGACTTACACTCATGGACATTCACTGAGTGTCCTCCTCACTAAGAACAGCAAAGTAAGCCACATCCATGTATACATCATGACTCAACTGACTTTAGCCACAATCTTTAAAGGTCTTGTAGTAGTTACAGACAGCATCAGAAGACCTTGGGCAAATGATGCTTTTCCATTCCTCAGCCTCTTCTTCGTGACTGTTTTAATACTTTATCTACTCTGGCTAACCCAAAGTCTCTACACTACCACAGGAGCTGATCCACTCACCCTATGTGTTTGTGGCTAAAATGTTGCTGGGTGGAAGGACATTAACAAGGTGGTCAGTGATCAGGCATTTCCAAGCCTAACTCATAGAGTTCAATCTTATGTGCTGGTGCTTGTGCATTTAGTCTCTTTGTTAATGGGACTGCTATTAGAAGTTCCCTGTTAAGCCTGGAATTCTTTGTACTTACGGACTAGTTATGGAGACTGTGCACAAAAAAGGTCCCACCATGACCATAAATGCATAATCAGAAAGTAACATGCCCTGGCTGGTGTGGCTCAGTGGATTGAGCACCCGTCTACAAACCAGAGAGTTGCTGGTTTGATTCCCAGTCAGGGCATGTGCCTGGGCTGTGGGCCAGGTCCCCAGTAGGGAGTGCGTGAGAGGCAGCACACTGATGTTTCTCTCCTTCTCTTTTTCCCTCCCTTCTCCTTTCTCTAAAAATAAATAAATAAAATCTTTTTAAAAAAAGGAAACAAATAACATTTTAGGGTGGGAAACTTACCAGCATCTGTTCAAAGAGTACTAAAACTTGCTCATCTGAAATATCTTGCAATGAATGTGCTGTGGGATCATCCCCATACAAGGCAGAATTTCTGTGAGCAGAACTGGACTTCTCCTTCTCCTTCTTAATTCTCATGCTGGTAAATCTCTCCAGCTGAGAAAGAGAAAACAGTATTAGCAGCGATCCATCTTCCCACACACAACAAACCACCCATCAAATAGCCAACCCTCTAACCTCATACATGCATGACTCCTCAGGTTTGTGGGCAGTCCAAGACTCTTCTGACATGAAAAGAAGAAACCAGTCTTCTTCATATCTAATTTAGTATCCTGACCCTTTACTCTCATCTTTATCCAAAAATAAAAAGACTGGAGTATTAAGATTTGGACCTCTCTATAAAGAGAAAACTTTGTTCTTGAACTTCCCTGCCACTTCTAGGAGCGCAGAACTGAAAGCATCTCATGTGCTGAGCCATCCCAATAAAATGCCCTTTGTTTCCCCTAGATATCCAGTAAGAAATCTGGCCAGGCCCTCGGAGGATCCCGCCCTTCAAGAGGTAAATATGACCACAGGCTGTAATAGATATAAATCATGGAGAGTAAATGTATAAATTCCTTTTCTTCTGTACATGCCATAGCACTTGTGTTATGTAGGCAGCAAGCATTCAATACATAGTCTTCAAAATCCCCTTTGCAAAGACTACAATGTTCTTCAGGGGTACATATGCCATCTCCGCCAACAAAATGCCCATGAACCACTCCTCAAACCTCAAGTAGAGATGTTCAAATCAAAAAGAGCCACTGGTAAGCTGCTGCTTACCAGCTCTGCCTGTTTGAAAATAATAGTAAATATCTGCAAGGACCATAGAGCTCCAAGTGATACGAGTAGCATCCAGACTGCAGGTCAGCTTGGAGTTTAAAGAAAGTGCCTAACCTTGAAAGCCAATGACTATGCCAGGGAAATGCATGCAATGAGCCAAACGCAGAGCAAAGAGTTAGGAAAAAGCTTTGAGATGATCCAAGAACAGAATCTATACCACCATTACAAGTTATATAAAAATCAGAGTTATAGGAAATAGTAACCATCATGGTGTAGAAAAGGAGCTAGAACATGCGCATGCTGAACAATATGTCCTTACCTCATCTGCCATGAGCCGCTTCAGAGTCTAGGAAACAGGAAAAAGGAGGGAGAAGGAAGAAATGAGAGATCAGCGAAATGCCAGGAAACCTCCCAAACACCAGATGGGTTGGGGAAAAAAGAAGGGAAAATGAGCTGAAAAGATCTAAGTTACTTCCCACAAGCTAAAAGATTTCTGCCAAACTATTCCTTAGCACACTTCTTAAGTCAGGGGCAGGAAAAGTTTTAAGGTCACTAACACATAGCTCTTTGAAGGGGAAAAAAAAGATCTGAAAGGACTCTGAATCCAATGACCAATAAACCTATGAAATATGCTCAGCTTTATCGGTAAACAAGGAAATGCAAACTAAAACCACAGTGAGATATCGTTTCGCACTCACCAATACTGGCAACAGTTTTCACGTCTGTCTAGTCGCAGAGCGGCAGTAGCTCCCACACAGTGTTGGTGGTAATGCAAATTGCTATGGCCACTTTGGAAACTTTATCTAGTAAAGTTAACATATCACACCTCAACAGATTGATTTTCATATATCTATCCTGCAGAAACTTGCACATATGTAGTGGGATGGGTATAATTAGAATGCTTATAGCAGCACTATAGTATCTGAAACAGAACCATTCAAATAGCCATCAAGAGCAGAACGGATAAACTGGTGCATTGGTACAGTGGAAATAGATTAATTACACAAAGAAAGTGAATGAACTTACCACTACTCAAACATAAAAATGAATGTATTACTTAATCTACATTGAGTTTAACAACATGTAAAACTAAATTATATTATTTAGGATATAAAATTATAAAAGAAATGATTACCACAAATGCCAAAACCATGGTTGCTTGGGATGGGTGAAAAGCTGTGACCATGAAAAGAAACGAGAGGGCTTCCGGGATGCTTACAATACTCTATTTCTTGACATGGATGGTGGTTACATGGGTGTTTGGTTTATAATTATTCTCTGTGTTTTATGTTCTCTTCTGTATACATGCTATACTTTACCAAGAAAGAAAAGTCTGAATGAGCAGCTATAAGAAAGCAGGAATTCTTTTTCACCCTAATTTTGAAGCCACATTCTTCTCGCTAATGTCCTGAGAAGACAGTGAATACCCCTTAACTAACCTTCCTCCACTTCTGACCCTGACACAAAGCTGTTTTACTAACCTTTTTATGAACAAGAAAAATCTGTATCATTATGTTCTTGCTCCTCATGTCAAAGTTCAGTTAAATCTAGTTAAAATGTGAATCTTAACTTTGCCCTCCATGGTCCAGAGGAGGTCAAGCTTCTGCCGACTGAGTGCTAATCACCTGAAACCGTAAGATCAGAAACCATAAGAAATTCCACGGTTCAGCAGCAATGGGATGTCAAGTCACTTGGTGTGCGCCGCTTACTGGGAGTGAAGGCAGAAGGGTGATGAGGGAGGGAGGGACGGCAACATTCAAGGAGACCAACAGTCCCTTTTATCACCACCCTGCATCACCCGGCACAGAGAAGTGACACAAGCCACAAAAAGGATGAGTTGAATGTGTACAGTTTAGGTTGCCATTGCCAAGGTCAGAGTTATTTGCACCTGTACTCCAAACACAAATTGTTCCCAGAGAACCAAGCAAAACCTACACAATTCTTGGATGCCTGTAACACAGGGGACAGAACCTACATGTAATGAATCAGTGTTAGCCAGATTGTTCACAGCTGCAAGGAAACCAGTAACCTGTTCTTTCTGCCTACAGACTCTTATTTCTCTTCCATCCTTCCCCACTACTACTACCCAAGTTCACGCCATTATTATCTCCTGCTTGATTTAATGCAATGGCCTACTACCTGAATTCTCTGCCTTCAGTCCCACCTGCACCACACCAAATCCATTCTCCATACTACAGATCCAAGAGTAATCTTTCGAAAATGTCAACTCTCCATGTTATTTCCCCATTTAAAACTCTTCAATAGCTCCCCGTGGCCCTCAGGTCAAAATCCAAATTCCTTAGCATGGCACATAACACTTCTGGTTTCTTTCCCTGATTCATCTCTCAACAGGCCCTCCACTGGGCAACTCCTCTGGGTAACTTGAACTAGCTGCAGTTCACAAACAGGTCATGCTGTCTCACCACCCCAGACTTTCCACAGGCTGCTGCTTCCCTCAGCCTAGATTATGCAGTCAAGGTCAACTCCAAGATGCCCTGCAGGATGACACCTCTTCTCATTAAATATGTACTGCTCCTGGTGTTTCCACAGTAATAGGTGATTGCCTGTCTCATAGCACTAGAAGTGAATAACAATTGTCTTTTGATTGTCTGCCTCCTCTATCCCTTTCCAGACTCAATTCCTTCAAGGCAGAGCCTGAAACTTAGTCATTCCCTCTCCTGTGAACAAATACCATAATCTGGGGCCGCTTTCCTAAAATGACAGTCCCTGGAGAAGCCCTTAAAATCTATTCCTCCTCTTCACTGTGTCAGTGAAGAGACTGAAGCTCAGACAGGTGGAGTAAATCATCGAGGTCACATGATTAGAAGCAAGGTGGGTATGGAACTCATCTCCATATTCCAAAGGCCTAAATCTTTGCATTCCCCAAATTCTTGTCTTGTCTTGTTCCCACTTAATGCCTATTAACGCTTGCCTTCAGATACAAAAGTAAACATGGTTTTATAAGAAGGAAGAAAACAGTTTCCCATGGTGCATCATTAAAAGCATTTAATTCTTCTAAAAATTATCCACGTTTTAGGGCTAAATTTGAGTAAGGACAGCAAAAAAACAATCCATGCAGGACCGAAGCTGCATTTCCTCAACTAATCCAAGAGAGGGCAGCCAACTACCGGCAAAGAGAATCACAGGACAGGCAAAATTGTTTCAGAACCAGATAGAACACCAGAACAGCAAGCCCAATTCAATTATTGAAATGGAACCTGTTGCTATAGTACCTTGAGGGTGTAACATTTATTTATTTACTACTGTGTGTTTTCCTTACAGATCCTATGTATAATGTGTTCCCAAACAGTGTTTAAAAATCGTATTATTAGTTGTTTTGTGGTTTCTCTGAAATACAGAATAAGAGGCTCCTAGAGTATGAAAAGCAAAAAAGAACTAAAAATAGCGGAGTCCAGGAAGACAAATGCTTCTGGAACTATATTGATGCCTTATGCTTCAGATTTCCAAGCTTTTTAATGAGGACTCGAGTCATTCCAAACTACCTCTGTGTATCTCCACTCTCACCACTGACCTGTTCTCCATCAGCTCTCTTCTGCCCGCAAACCAGCCCCTTATTCTCCTAGCCTCTCTGCATTAAATACTTCATTTTCCTGTCCCTCCGATGCAGTTTTCCACTAAAACTATCACTAAAACCTTTAACTACACATATAGATACCAAAGGAAATACAAACACTGAATAAAACTTTTTAATAGCAAACTCTGCTCACAAGTACAGATAAACAGAAGCTTCCAGGTAAAAGATGGTAGGCTGAATCAAAACATCTAATTGCTCCCCTTCTTGAAACCCTTCTAAATGTATAGAAAAGGAATTTTTAGAAAGAAAACAACAATGGCAGGATGGAGACCACAAGATTGGGAAGAATAAGAAAAGTGCAACCAAATTTTGAAGTTGGGAAATAAAGGGAAGGACTAGTGGTAAACTCAGCAGACGTAAGAAGCTGAGTCCTAAACCAGAAGTAGGAAAAGCCAATAACCAATCCAAAGTATACTTAAGGATCCTCAAAAGGCTCATAAATTAGCAGTACCAGGTATCTATGGAAACAGGGGTTGGAGGGGGTAGGTGAAAAATAAGATTGGTTGAAAGCTGTTTAAGAAGGAGACCTGTAGATTTTCCTGCCCCTAACCCTACACGCCACTGGGAGATTGTCCTCTCTTACTCCAGCTGAAGTCTCTGGAAGGCTATTCTTAGAAGAGGGTAAAACAGAGGGTCTCTAGATTGGGTGATATCAGGCACAGTTGTAGGTAGGGATCCTATACAATAAAGAAAGACTAAGTTAGTCTATGCATACTACATGCTGAGACACCCAGCACCTTCTCCCTTCTAGTTTCTCAAAATCCCGGCTGTCTGGCCCTTACACCCTGGAGGCAGAAGGTTGGAAAAGTCTCCTCTGGAGAACTGAAAAATGACCTAACACTACTGACACAGTCTCAGCAGATCACCCTAGAGCTCTGCGGTCCAGCTTACCGAGCACTTCTCATGTGTCTAGTGCAACCGAGGAAGGAATTTCTAATTTTATTTAATTTTAACAAAATTTAAATTTAAAAACTAATAATTTATTATTACTGTTAAACAGGTATATTTGGAACACCCTTGGTACATGAACCTACTTTTCACTTGTAAATTTTATGAAGTCTAAATACACATCAAGTTTTTAATGAAAATTTAGCATCCGAGTTGAGGTGTGCTATAAATGTAAGATGAACATTGGAGTATAACTTAATATAAAAACAGAATGTAAAATATCACAGTAATTTTTATATTTCCTACATATTGAAGTATCTATTTTAGATATTTTTAATTAAAGAAACTGTAGTATTAAAATTAATCTCACGTTTCTTTTCTGCCTTTCTCTGTAGCTACTGGAAGATACATAAGCACATATGTGATTCACTTTACACTCTAAGGGCCCGGACGTCCTGCAGTAAAGCACACCGCCACCAAGCCACAGCCACCCAGAGCTTCCCATCAAACTTTTAGTCCCTCATTCTTAAACACTAGCAGATAAAACTCAGGGCTATCAGATATTTGAGAAAAGCTACTAATATAAGAGGAAAAAGAAAAAGCAACTTAAATAGATACATGCAAGAAGAAGATTAAAAAAAAAAGCATTAATATCCACAAGAGAAAACATACCATTTTAAAAACAAACATTCAGAGGAAAAAGAACTCTTAGAAGATGAAAATATGAGAACAGAAACTCAAGAAAAAGCTCGATAGAAGGACATGAAGAACGAACTGAGGAATCTCCTAAAAAGTAGAGCAAAAACACAGAGATGGAAAAATAAGAGAAAAGACAATTAATTGGAAGATCAGTTTGGGAGGTA